TTTTTAGAGCAATCAGGAGATTTTCAGATGGAAGAAACAAAGAAATAGGCAGTAACTGTACAGTGATCTCCAGTTCTCTTTTCTGCTACTCACTGGCCCAGGGCTGTCACTGCTTATAGCAGTTTCCAAACACATCAAATCTGATCTGTGCATTGCGACTGCTGATATATGTGCCAGATTTAGCAACTGAAACACTGCATTTATTCCTTTATTAAGTTCTCTAAGAAAAATATACAAGTAAGACACAGTGTTGTTCTTTTACTTCAAATGTCTGACCACAGAGGATGGATCCTGCAGGTCTTGAGGAGGATCTCTGCATTTTCCCTGTGACTACTTGCTCCAGATGGGATCAGTTTGTGCCATTTCACAGTCATTTGCTATAACTTCAGCTGGGCGAAGACAGCACTTGCACTGCTGGGCAGTGAGGTGCAGTCTAGCTCTAGGAGGACTTGCCACAAGAATTTGCTTCTTAGAATAAATGGAATAGAGCATAAGCAAGATTGAAGAGAACACTGCATGGTGAAATGATTTGTGGACAGCAGGCATCACAAAGTGAATCACAGTTCTCTGTCCCAGGCCATAAATTGTGTGCAACTTGCTTTAGTATAAAGAGGACAAGTGACACATGGACATTGTGCCTTTTTTTCTGGGGTGCTGGGGAAAAGGAAGTGCTACAACCACAGGTACCTGCTGGGAGGTTGGCTTTGCTCCTTGAGTGCCCAGATAACAACAGTGCCCTGTGTAACAAAGTGTGCCTTCATATCTTCTACACGACCAGGAAAAAATAGTCTTAACATTCATGGTTCCTGCTGGGGGAGAATTGGAGTTCGTTCATTCATTCATTCATTCTTTCATTCATCCACTAATTCCTTCATTCTGCATACCATTATTTTTCAGACCCTTTCAAACACCATGGGAACAATATGGACTAGAGTGTGAAAACAGCCTCATTGCAATTTGCAGAAAGGCTGATCTTAGGTAACACCATAGAGACATTTGCTGTGTTTTGCTTTTCAAAATTGCACTGTGCCATGGTTCCAGACACAGGACTGGAATTTTTCTATGTTTCCTCTATTAGCAATACTTAGTAGGATGCATTTCATCAAGGTTCAAGTTCAAGAGCTTAGTACTGGTGAAGAAAACAAGGGGGTGGTTAACTGCCCATGAGCAGCAGCTGCTGCTGCGAACACTGAAGGGAAATTCTCTCTCTGCTGATGTTTCCACAGTTCTGCTTGAGTCCCAGCTGTCTCACTGCTGTTTTGGTCATGCTATGTCTCAGCCAGGTGTCTTGATCTTTAAGGAAGTCTGTATCCAGCTTCAGCTTTTACTGTTAATGGCTGGTATAATAAACCTGGAGTCGCTGGCCTTGTTTTGCTCTGAGTTGGCAAGTATTTGCTTCTTAATTTGCTCTTAAAGGCCATCTCTAATTCACGATTGCCTTTAAAACTTTATTATCCCTATAAATTCTGAAATGTTTTTTTTTTACTGAACTTTGAAGCTTTATTCTGAAGGACAACTTTTCACTTTTGGACATGAACTCTTCTAACGTTGAGGTTCTTGTTTGTACAAGGAAATATAATCTGAGATTTAGGAACCATGATGCCTCTTCAGAATTTGTGTGCCTTGTAATTAAAATACATGCAAAAAAGGGTTTTTGCTTTCCCAGCTTGCTGAAACTTTATATCTGATCTGACACGTTTCTACTTTGCAAGAAAAATTGCATTGATTTTTATTTCTTTTTTTCCATGGCATTCACTTTGGCTGCATGTTGGAAAAGCAACAACGATCACTGTAACCTACCTGTGACATTTTGATGGTTATAGAAGAAAAAAAAGAGTTCCTTAGAAAGCAGCAGCAGTGCTACCAAATTGCTTCTCTGGGAAAGAATATTGCATTATCTAAAATCAGTTCTGCATGGGATTTGCATTAGAATCTGTATAAAAGATTGGAAGCAAAGCTGTGCCAGGAATTTGAAGAGCTTCTTGCAGATTTTTAGATTCCTACAGTTTTCATTTGAAGTGCTAATGCTAAGTCTTCCTTTTGAAGAAGGATGCCATAAAATATGAGAGGCCTACAACATCAATAAAAGGTTAATGGTGTCCTGAGCTTTCATCTGCTGGATTTGCTGCTACAACTTCTTGGATTTAATGAGTGTCTCCTACAGCCTCGTCACTTAATTCAGGGGTGATTACAGCCACTGCCTCACAGAGCATGCAGTGAGAAGCTACCGCACAGCTGTGTGCTCAGACAGCCCATCACCAGATTGCAGTGAGGAGCCATGTGTGCCATACATTTTAGTTTGTTTCTTTATAAACGAGCGTCACAATCCTCTAGAAAACGTGGGTGAGAGAAGCCTTGTGTGGTTTTAAATAAGTCATACACAACGAGGTACGATGTATGTGATTTAGCCTCGATGCACTTTTCACAAATTCCTGTTAACAGACCGGAACTGGAACCAAAAATAGCAGAATTGCTGCTCTGTGTGAACACTTTGCCCTTTCCTTATGTTCCAGCCCTGCACAGAGCCCGTGTACCAAGGTGATGAAATCCACAATAGCTTAAAGCCTGTGGTGAACTCCACTGAAAATTCCAAGAGCTACAATGACTTTTGAAATCAGTGTAATTTAATTATGTTTATAAATGAGGCTCTTCAAACACAACAAAAACTAAGTAAAAATGAAGGAATTTGCTGTCTTTTAAGCAGTTTTCAGAATACACCAATAATTTAAAGTATCCATCTCTCTACAAGTCACATTATTTAGAAATTGCAGTTCACATCTGAAAACTCCAAGGAGTGATTCAGACCAAATAAGGTCTGAACTGGCAGCTTGTGGAGTTTGTTCCAATTACAGTGTCAGCCAAAGCAGGACATTTTATAATTACAGATCTGGGCTGTTGTTGTTGCTGATTAATGCATTTGGGTGCTCAGCCATTCCTACAGAAGGAAAGACAAAAGCGTTGTTGGAGCTTTCTCATTTATTACAGAGTCCTCAAACAGCCGACGGAAATGCTTACACATAAATAGGCTGAAAATAGACATACGGACTCAACAAAAACTCTTTCATCTTAATAACCTTTCGGACAAAAATCACACATTATACATATTGAGAGTAAGGTTCCATCACATTTACTTTTTAAGTGAGCTTTGTAACTTGTATTAAAGGTCAGCATTACTCGGTTTTTCACAAGAGTCCAAGTCTGATCTTTTCAGTGAGTTAGCTGACCTTAAAAATGAATTCTACAGCTGGAAAACCTCCACAGAGGAGGGAGGAAAAATAGAATCACTAGAGTTGTTGAAAACAAAAAAAATCCCTAATGTTCCAATTAATTAAAGCACGTTCTTTCAAAAGCAGCTGTTCTTAACAACTGTAAAGTGGTTACCTTGCAAAAGCAGAGTTCCTTACTCCACAGTTCAAAGTGCTGTAATGTGAGCTAACAACTCCCCCCCCTGCTTCACTGGAAGAGTATCGTCCTCACTTTGACCAATGTACAAAATATCTTTTCAGTTTGCTTTTATTATTGTAATAGCTCAGCCTGTAGTTTGCATATTATAGACATGCAGAAAATTACACTATAGAAGTCCTGTTTTCAGAGCTGGATGGTAACTGAACATAGACAAAATGCCAGGATTACAGATACAAACTTCCCTTTGCGGCATTTCCCAGCCTGCTTAATATAATACTTTGCAGAACTAGAGAACCTGGTCTCTTCTCACTGGTGACAGAAGGGGAAACAGCCTCAAGTTGTGCCAGGGTAAGTTTAGGTTGGATATCAGGAAAAACTTCTTTACAGAAAGGGTTGTTAAGCACTGGGATAGGCTCCCCAGGGAGGTGGTTGAGTCACCATCCCTGGTTGTGTTTAAAAACCGTTTGGATGTGGTGCTCAGGGACATGATTTAGCAGAGGGTTGTCAGAGTTAGGGTAGTATGGTTAGGTTGTGGTTGGACTTGATGATCTTTAAGGTCTTTTCCAACCTGAGCAATTCTATGATTCTATGATTCTAACTCTAGAAAGACGGTTTAACTGTCAGCTTGTATGTAGGCATATTTAAGCTTTACAGTGTCAACTGTCCTACTTAGTTGCATTTATTAGTGGAATAGGAGATGTTTAGACATCTGTCAAAACAGCTGTAGAGATGGTGATTGAAACTTTGAAGGATTTGATGGATTGTTGTTGATGTAACATGTAATCAGGAAAACCATGCATTGGAGTTCTGGTATTTTTTAAGTATCACACTTAGAAAATTATGGAATGTGCTTTTCAAACCTTTAGTGAAATGAGCATAAGCATGGCATTTGTTGTTATAGTTAATTCATGTAAAAGAATGGTGGGTTGACCTTGGCTGGTCACCAGGTGCTCACCAAGCCTCTGTCTCACTCCCTCTCCTCAGCAGGACAGGGAGAGAAAAAAAAAAGCTTATGGGTAGGGATAGGGTCAGGGAGATCACTCAACCAGTTACCATCATGGTCAAAACAGACTCAGGCTGGGGAAGGCTGATCAAATTTATTGCCAATTAATCATCTAGAGCAGCGAGAGCTGAAAGCATACCAAAACCACCTTCCCCTCAGCCTTTTTCTTCCCAGGGTCAACTTCAAACCTCTTCTGCCAAGCAGTACAGGAGAACAGGGGCTGTGGTCAGTTCATATCGCCTCATCTCCGCTGCTCTTCCATGGGCACATGCAGCTCCTGCTCCACATGGGGTCCCTCACATGGGACGCTGTCCTTCCCACTCTGAACCTGTGTGGGCTTCCTATAGGCTGTAGCTCTACAAGCACTGCTCCAACACAGCTCTGCAGCACAAGGCCCGCCCTTCAGGCACTGCTGGGGCACAGGGCCCAACAGGCAGCAGCTCCCTCAGCCCTGCTGCTCCACTGCAGGCTGCTCTCCATAGGCTGCAGCTCTAGCCCAGGCCCAGTGCCAGCGTGGGGTTTGTAGTTACCCAGAGAATTTTAACATTTTAAAGACAAATCATTATACTTTTTAATTAGACTGACCACTCAATAAAGCTTTTATGAAGTTTATTTCGTTGCTGTACAGAGGCAGAAATGTAAACCATCTCAATAAACCTACATCAGTAACTACTCAGACATGGTACAGATATACAAAAAGCCATTAATTAACTTCAGTGTTGATACCATATTTAATGCAGAACTGGATGCAAATAATGCAAACAGTATCTACACAGTGGAAGGCATAATTCTATTAATATTTACATCTTGTTCCTCATAACGAAGGCTTCTGATACATCAGTTCTTTCTTCATTTGTATTTAATCACCCTTTTCCATAGTAGTGCAGCCTCAGAACTGAAAAGTGCATTTTCTTTATTATATACATTTTCAGAAGGTTTACAGGTTGTTCCAGAAACAGTTCTCAAACCCTCATTTTTCAAATTCATTTACTGAATGCGTTTTCCATCAATTAAAATTATTTCATGAACTAAAACCACCGTTTTCCCATATGCAATTATAAAATCAAAGCTCCTAATCTCAAATCTAGGAGCCATTGTCTTCTGACTTGGGAAGATTAAACATTCCTGTGAAAGCACTCCATCCGCTGCTGTTTTGAATTTAAAATACTCTGGAGCATTTCAGGTTGGCAAGTTTGCAGTTCCAAACAACTTTGGAAGAGCTCTACAACACAGATATTTACATTTTGCGTTTGATTGAGTTGTAGTTCCTCTCACTCTGAAAGTGAAGTAAAAGAAGAATCCAGTTACTGTCACTGTAGGAAACTATAAAGTCATTTCACAAGCAAAACAGTTAAAAAACAAAACAAGATTAAATAGTCAGCTCTTCCTCTTGTCTTAAAAGTAAAATTGCTAAAAATAAAGTACCTTTCATCTTCTAAGCTACCGCAATTCTCACCACATTTATTTTTAAACCACAACAACCACAACATCCTGCAGCACTGGAGATCTTGACAGACTGAATCCCAGCCAATCTTGTTTTAGGAGATTAAAATACTACGTTTCATCTCCTGTCAACTCTCCTGTAGATAGGGCAGTAATGAGAAACAGCAAAATAGTGTCTTGTTTGAAACACATCTTAACTACCATGGCAACTAGGCAACTAGTTTTTCAGCCGAGCCACTGGACTGCAGATTGAGAACTCACACACACTGCTCCAAGGGTCAGCTCTGACAGAAAGCCAATAATGAGCAGAGGAAGGAAGAGAGAGGGTCAGAGAACAAGAGCAGCTTGCTATGTCTGCATGTGCCCAGCCCTTTGCACTCCCGTTGCCATGAAGGAATGCAACATCATAAACACAACTTCCAGATACTTCCTATACTCCCGCACATCTTAGCATACTTGAACGATCTCCTGGGGTGAAAACTTACACTGTTATATTGAAGTTGAAAACTGTAAGACAGTCTTTTAAAAATGAAAAAAAAAAATTACATGAGGATAAAAATGTAAATGGGAGATGTTACCTTCACCAGGAGGAACTGATGGCTCAGTTTCAGAAGTGACAGCTTCCTTATCTTCAGAAGTTTTGTCTCCTGGCTTATCTTGTTCCACGTCACACAGATACACGTCAATGGGTCCTTTTGTGCTCTTTACATGTACTCTGATGCAATCCTGTAAAACAGAGACTTGCATATTAAACAAAAGACAAATCTTACACATCAGTTATGTATTTGTGCATGCATTTTAATCCCAACAGAACAAATACAAGAGTGACATAACTACTTAAATTTGCGTTACTAGTTCTATGTAAGTTACAACTTGATTTTCAGCCTAATTATTAAGTAACACTAAGCTAACAAGGTTTCACTTGTGATGGGCAACATACCTAATTAATCCATTTAGTCTCTTTACTGACCTGAAAAACGGCCAAGATTTATCATATGCTTAGTAAGAACAGAAGTAAGAACTTGACAGTCAATGCCATGGATCAGAAAACAAATCAGAGCACATCAAGGTTTTATAATAATATGGTAAAACAAACTCTAGTACTGTTTTCCTTTAGCAGACATCACATTGCAAGGCACAGACTAAGTCATATTCAGTGGGAAATGCATTCTCTCTAAAGAACTGCCTTTCAAATCCTGCCTGCCTCTGGAATCTTTTCCTTCTCACTGGCATGGGATGAGACACAGCTTCTTTTGCCTGTGAAATCAGCAGATATATGCATTGTGGATTTAAATCTTCTGTTTTTATTGATCTGTATCTTCTTTTCCTAGGATGACCTGAATGGGAACAGGTATGCTGTACCATAAAGAAAGGACAGGCCACATCCCCTGCCTCCATGAAGAATACATCTGGACAACCAGAACTACAATCTGATCAACAAAAGAAGTATGTTTCATACTTCAGTACTACAGTAACAATAGTTGCCTGCTCATTAAGCAGTAAGACAACATTTACTTGCTGTTACCAAATTATGTTACCAAATTCTGCTTATTTTCTTTAAATTCGCAGCTTTTATAGATTTTGCTCAACAAATGTTGGTTTCATTATCCTAATCAGTGACCAAACACACTGATACTGGAAATGAGAAACATGGATTACAGTTGCTCCATTATTTCCAGCAAAACTTATGTAGTAAGTAAAGTTCACACGTTTCCTTAAGACTATTATACCTACAGCACTATTTAGTGAAACACAAAAACAATGAAGTACCAATATTTGCTACACATGACAAAGAAACTCAAAATCAGTTAATGATTGCTACTGCAAAAGAAATAAAAATAAAATTTAAGAACCTTTCTTCCATTAAGAGAGAAAGCTGTAAAACTTACTTCTTTAGGAATCGGTATTTCCAATCTGGTTTCTTCTGGAGCTTTGATTGCAATCACAATCTGTTTTTGAAATGCCTGAATGCTACGGATATCTTGGTACGTCACATAAGCTAGTGTATACATTGGTCAAGGATTCTGTACAGTTATTTGCTAATGGGCAGAAGCAAAGAGTATGATGTTAAGACACGCTGACCAGAACACCCATTTAAGAAAAGTGGTCAATAGTTCAGCTGATATTACTTTAATATTAGCTTTGTAAAATTAATTATTAGCTGACAGGTAGAATTTTTTTTTTTCTTTTTTTGTCTTTCATTTTTCATGGAAATCAAGGCATTCAATATTATGAACTCTATATTTGATAAAACAGTTTTCATAAATACTATCGTAAGTCTATACAGCAGAGGGAAAACTGCCTTGAAGAATTCACTTTTTTCATTTGGTATTAACAATATATAGAAATAATTTCCTGGAAAACTGGAGAATTATTTTCTTAACCAGAATGGATAAACTATAATGAAAAGTTTATCATCTGATTTCATGCAGGAAATAGACACATTTCTCTTCATTTGAGCATACACCTTTTAACATTCTACCAGGCACGAGAGCTCAGCCTTATTTTATTGTACCCAAAGTCAAAATACAATGTATATATCCTATTAAAGTTACTAAAGAGGTCCCACCCTTATTATCAAACCACACCTGAAAGATTAGGACATGATCAACGTACCATTATATCTTCATGGCAAAAGGCCACTGTCACTCTGTTTTGGGTCCTCTTTCTCATCTCAGTAAGCAACTGAATCTCACTGGTAGGTCAAGATCTGCCCCTGAGACAACTTTACTCTACAGTGGAAAGAACAAGGTGATGGTCAGGATTCTAAGACTACTGCCCCACTTACATATTCCTGTTCCTTGTTACCATTGTTACCAATAATTGCTTATCTCAGTAACACTCTATTCCTTACCCTCATTGTCACCAGGATACTCCGCTTTCCTTTCCATGGCAAAGTGCCAGAGGAATGAAGAGCAAACAGTCCAACTCCTGTTCTTCCTACTCTTTTTCTCTCAATATTCTCCAGTGGAAACATCACACAGATAGCACTCTCTCAGGGATCAGTCACACTGTACATGATCCTATGGATCATGTGCCTATTATATACTAATACAGAATAACTGATGATCTCATTACCCAATGTTACTGCATACCTGTGGTACGAGTCTAAATCTTCTGCATGAATATCTGAGTACTGGCACCTAAAACCACGTGCTAAAGTAATGCAAGAGTTAAAAGGATATTTTGCATTTTCTTTGTCATCTGTTAGATCAAATAACTGATGAGCACAATCCTTGATTAATTCATCCAGAGCTTCTTCCATGGCTGACAAGTCAGAAAGTTCATCTTTAAGGTTTTGCCGCTGTGTTGCCATTTCAACAACTTGGTCAAGATTAGAACCTCTAAAAGAATATGAAAGTTGTCTAATATGCTGATGAAAAGAAGAGCCTGGTTATTGAATACAGAAAGTGTACTAATAGAAAACAACCAGGAATTCTGGTATTCTTTACTCAGCTGAAACATGACGCAATGCACTTTTTCACTTGGTACTTGTTAATATAGTATGTCATTTGGACAGCCTGAGAATAAAGAAAAACTTAAGTCCTTTTTATCTGTTAAAATAATTCAGTGTGCTTTAAAATACTTTCAAAGCTATGCTATTCAACATCGTTGCATTTTATTGTTTCAGAAATCACAAATTTTCCAGCCAACTTACACCCACTGGATGTGATTCTTTGATCTTTTCTGAATTAAGTCGATCCCATCCAACACACTGGTGATGTCGTACACTCTTCGTTTTTGTACTCCAAGAGCTGTTGCTACGTCGTTTAAATCAAGGACACCATCTGGAGCTCTTTTGACAAGATCCATGAATTTTCGAGTCAAATAAACCAAGGATGCATCAAATCGAGGCCTTTTGACCTTCAGAGTTTCTGTAATGTTTTTGATACAATATTTAGGGTACGTTACTATAGGAATATGAAACGTCTCTGAGAAAACAAGCGATCAAGTAGCAATTAACGTATGAGTTTGAAAGAATGCAATCATTTGCATCATGAAGTCCATTAGCAAGATGCAGTGGTTTTATCTAAATAGAAAATGCACATCTTTGTGCTTTCAACATTTATAACTAGCATGTGTAATAACAGTCACGTCACCACATGATTTGTAGGACGCGAGCTCTGACTATTAAATCAATACCAACAAAGAACTTAGGTTAATTACAGGCAGTGTCAGGGCACTGACAGAGAACTGCAGCTTTATCACTTACTCCCAGACACTGCTAAAACAGTTCTTCGCACCTTCTTGACTCACAGCAACTAGTAGGTCTCCCAAATAATTCTCAGGCATAGTTCAGGAGTTAGCTTGCTTCCAGGGACTATTTCAGTCCACTTGGTTCCAGAGTCTAAGAATGTAGTGTATGGACACACTTAACATGTACTGCACTGTTTAGCCTCAGGGCCTAAAAACTGGTGAAGTCACTGTTTAATTTACTATATGACAAAGATCTACAAATCAAGAAACACCACTGTACAGTATCAGAGCAGAAAAGGACTCATCAACAGCTTGGTTAATGTTAGATTGTTATTTACATATGCCTGACCACTCCTTCATTTTAAAGCACAAAAGTACTTAGGGTACCTATGCTCTCATCTAAAATCTCTGATGCTAGTCAATAAAAGACTGTAAAATACCACTGCTACTTGTGCCTTGTACTGCAAAATATTTCATATCTTATCAAACTTTGCCACTAAATATGATCTAATGCTTCCAGAGAACATGGATGCATGTGTAAGGAAGGTTCCCTAGAAACACTCTGCTTCAATTTTTTCCCAGGATGAACGAGACATGCTCTTTTATTTGCAACGTATTGCTCTCATTCTATGGCTACGAGACTGTGCTTTTTTTTTTTTTTTTTTTTTAAACAGAAGTGACAGGTTCAACAGCTCTCATCCATTTTGAATGATGTTACTGTAAGATTTGTAAGAATATTCTATCAGTGAGAAGCAAAATCATAACAACAACAAAAAAAACTAAATTTGCTCAACCCTGCGTTTACATATGTCAGTACTGATTGAAAAATAATGCTAGTTATTAGTACCAATTGAAAAATAATGCTAGGCAGCGTGATGGCCTAGGTTACTTCTCTGTAAGCTCATTTGCTTGATAGATGTAGGGATATATACTTGGAAGATGGAAAGAGAAGAGCGAAAACCATGACAAATGCAATGCCATATTTGCTAGTTAATTAAGTATGCAGCATTCTCCCTGTTCTGTCTATATGAGGTCCGTACCAATTTCACATTTGTTTACAGCATGTGTCACCACTGTAAAAAAAAACAAACATTAAATACTTCAAGGATAACACACGGAATGCAGCCACTTACTTTTTACAACTGGCATGTCATCATCCAAATTCAAGTTGAGCATTGGTGTCTGAGGAAAAAAATGAAGTATAATTAATGCAAGATACCTGCTGTTTTCAAGGAAGCACAGGAAGCTTTTAACAGAGAAACCCATGACCCAACTCTAGATGCTACTGTAACAGGAGTGCTGACAGCTCAACTGTGAAGGAACCCCATTCGATAGAAGAGGCACACACACATTAATACCCGTCAGATTTTTCAGTTCTTAAGTTCAGCACATCTCCTGCTGTTTTGGAAGGCAGGAAACATCAATAAACTTCATAAATCTCAGGCAGTGATCACAACACAAACCAGTATCTATCTATAAAGTCTATAAATACCAGTTCTAGCCATTCCATGTAATAACTCACATACAGTTGATATAGGGTAATATACAGCATCGCAATTATTCTGCAGCAAACTTCACAAAACTCACACGATAAGTGTAGCTATGTACTTTATTCTATTCTCCCACTGTAATTTAACAAAAGCATTATTTCAAATTCAGACTCATTCTAACTGGAAGAGATCTCAAAGTTTCTGGACCAACCTCCCATTCAAAACAGAAACAGCTGTTACATCAGATCACCTTCCAATTGGGTCTGGAAAGCTTCCAAGGGTCATGGCTGTATCTCTCTAAGCATCCCATTCCACTTGCCTATCTTTATGATGAAAACATTTACCTTTCTGCCAATTTGCAATCTCTCCTGATGTTTCAACTTATGGTTATTTCCTTTTAGCCTGTCATCATACACTGCTGTTAAGTGTCTGGCTGCAGCTTCTTGACAACTTCCCTGCAAATAGTTGTGGGTTGCTGTGGCTTAAAATGTTCCTTCAGTTATGTGCCCTAACACATGTACCACTTTTGACAGACGTCTGATGGCTGCACTCAAGTTTATCACCATCCTTCCTGTACTGGTCAGTCCCAAATAAGACACAGCACTCCAGGAGCAACGTAATACTTGACAAGTAAAGGAGAACTCTACTTCCTTTGGCCAAGCCAACAAATCCCATATGCGTCAATGCCAGAACATACTGTTAGCTCACATTTAGCCCACTGTCCATACAGACTTTCAGGTCAAAACAGGACTCTTCAGCAGGATCATTCCATAGCATCTCACAGCCTTTACCATGTTAAGTTACACTTCCAGGTGTAGAATTCACGACTTTTCAACTTCCTTGTTCAAGTTGATCAGTTCCTTGATGATCCATCCCTTCAGCCTATGCAGAGGTTCCTAACATGTTCCCCTCCCCATTTGCTGACAACCTGTAAGCATCAGAAGGGCACATCCCATGTCCTCCTCTACATCACTGATAAACATATTTAACATTATTGGTCCCACAGTAGACCCCTGAAACCCACTTTCATGTTAAGTATAAACCTTTGTGCACTCCTCTTTAAGCTTAATGATCCAGTAAGTTTTGAATTCACCTGCTATCTGTAGTACATCCACTTAAAGAAGACGCTGCTGGAGACCACTTCAAAAGTCCCGCTAACATTAATGTAGATGACATCTGCAGTTTGGATTTACAGTCACTGAAGGTACTCAGTTTGCAAGGACAGTCACACTTGGCTGTTTCCAATCACCTTCTTTCTGTTCCACAACCTCTCACAGATCAGAGTACAACCTAACAATGACATCAGCCAGGTCTCTCAGACCCTTTATTAGTGATACTACTACCCTCCACTAGGTCCTACAGACTCAGGTTGAGGTTTCTGTTTCCTTGCTGGCTGTTCCTTTCCAGCTCAAATCCTACTTGTTAGGCACAAAGCCTAAGGGATATCACATCCAAAGAGCTAAGTAAGAGGGCTGAGCACTTCAGCCTTGTCTGTATCTGCTTTCACTAAACTACTTCTTCCCTTTAGCAGCGAATTCACATTCTCCTCCAATCACCCTTCCTTGACTGTTAACACAGCAGTAAAAGATCCAGTCATCCTTGATTGTGTCCTTAGAGGCCTCCACCCTTTATCTTTTCAAGCTGCCTCTCCCATATCTCAGTGACATGTTGCATGAATAATCTGAGTCTTGAAGTCTGCTCTCCCGAAGTCCTGGCCTTGTGCTCTGCTACTTACCTTTCTTGCTAAACTCAGGACCTCAAACTCTGCTTCTGAGTACCACGCTCCTGACTTCTCTGTTCTCGAGATACAGGTTCAGGAGGGCATCACTCCTGGCTGACTCATCTAAACACCCAGATAAACTACTGGTCTCTAGTAATCATAGCTCTAATAAGAAATTTCAAACCAGTGAAAAAACTGGTATCACCTTCTTTATAGCTTTAAAGCAATACTACCAAGCAACAACCAGCTCAACAGACAAAGTGAATAAAAGTTTGAGAGAATTTAAAGGTTTGTTTTCATTCAGGTCTGGAGCACAAGTCTTACAGGGAGCAGCTGAGAGAACTGGGATTGTTCAGTCTGGAAAAGAGGAAGCTCAAGGGAAGCCTTACTGCTCTCTACAACTGCCTGAAAGGAGGTTGCAGTGAGGTAGAGGTTGGCCTCTTCTCCCAGGTAACAGCAACAGGACAAGAGGGCACGGCATATGTTGTGCCAGGGGTGGTTGAATACTAGGAAATGTTTGTGTTTTTTTTTTCTTGGAAAGAGTGGTGAGCCATTGGAATAGGCAACCCAGGGAGGTGATGCAGTCACCATCCAGCACAGCCACTCAGCCCTTTCTCACGCCTTGCACCCAGGCCCCCATATCACACTGCAGACATGCAAGCAGTTGGAGGTCTTGCTATGTACTTCAGGGTCAGTGCAGCAGCAGACATGAACAAGATGAGCAGGCTAATTAGGTGCCTAGCATCACCAGAGTCTGATGAGGTTGACTGCAAATTGTGCACTCGTGAACTGAGAAAATACCTGTGAGAGACTAGAAAGCCTTGAGCAACCCCTAGGGGGCACTGTAAAGTGCCTCTGTTGCCCTATGATGTCCTAGGAGCCCTCTATAAAATCTATAGGGCCCCAACTCCTCCCTCACAGCATTTATGGGATCTCTATGGTCCTGTATTCCTCGAACGCTCCCCCCACAAAGGCTCTACAGGGCTCCAAGATCCCCCCTATATGGCCCAGAACACAACCCCAACCCACAGGGCCTATACACCTTTATGAGCCTCATGAGACCTCTCCACTCCACAGCTGCCCATAGGCCTCAGCCACCGCTGCTGCTTTCCAACCATTCTGCACTGCCTTCCACATCGCTGTCCCGGCTTCACCTCCTTGTCCTTCTCTGAGACCCCAGCAGCTCCACCTCCTCTTTCTCATTCAGTGTTTTTTGCTTATACCACAGTGTCAAGTTGTTGGGTTTTTGTTTTTGCTTTTTTTTTTTTTTTTTTTTGAAATAGACAAAAACAAAACTGTTTTCTCTTCTTAAGGGATTACATTCCATTACATTCCAGATTTTAGTACTGTATGAGTTACAGCCTGAACCACTGATTGATCACCTGGGAAAAAGACCTAGTCAGCCCTGAGAGCACAGGTGAAGGCAATTCACCTGTGTGACCCAAAGGGGTGGAACCTGGCTGCACTTCTCTCAGACCTCATTTAAGGGCTGACTGCCAGTAGGGAAAGATCTCTGGTTGGAGATCCCCCCCCACGCTTCCCTTGTGGAGCTTTTCCCCATGAGCCCAGATCCTTGGAGATGGGTGAACATTCCTTTCCTATTTGTCCCTTCTGCCATTGTCTGGTCGGGTGGTTGGTGACCCTGCACATAGCAGGGTTGATGATCACTGTGATCCTTTTCAGCCCAGGCCATTTACGATTCCACTCTTGTATTGCCTTTCCAACTGTAACAAGTACTTAGAATATACTGGGTTTCTATTAATTCTGTTACTCTGTTCTCTGGAGTCATATATATTCATTAAAATTTAAAGGCGTTGATGGAAACACCTATTCTGGCTGGGAAGCAAAGTTTTACCTACAGAGAGCTTTGTTAGAAATCTTAGCTGTAGCCTGCAAGCATTGATCTCTGGGTGTCCTGTCAACTCTTTCTGCTCCATGGCTGCTTCACCTCCAGCATCAGGATAACAACCTCAGTTTCAGAAACTCTCCCTCTTTCACGTTTTATTTATTAGCTTCAATTCCAATCACAGAATGACAGAATGGTCCGGGTTGGAAGGGACCTCAAGGATCATGAAGCTCCAACACCCCTGCCACATGCAGGGCCACCAACCTCCCCATTTAATGCTAGACCAGGCTACCCAGGGCCCTGTCCAGTCTGGCCTTCAACACCTCCAGGGACGGGGCATCCACAACCTCTCTGGGCAGCCTGTTCCAGCACCTCACCACTCTCTCTGTAAAGAGCTTCCCCCTGACATCCAACCTAAATCTTCCCTCCCTCAACTTAAAACCATTTCCCCTTGTCCTGCTGTTATCTACCCTTTCAAAGAGCTGACTCCCCTCCTGTGTGTAGATTCCCTTTAGGTACTGGAAGGCTGCAATGAAGTCACCCCACAGCCTTCTTTCCTCCAGGCTGAACAAGCCCAACTCCCTCAGCCTTTCTTTGTAGGAGAGAAGCAACAGCCCCCTGATCACCTTGGTCCTCCTCCGGACAATCGCATTACATTACATTGTATCATCTCACATTCCACTATAATATTTAGTAAACTGAAGCTTTTTTTCCCTTTAGCTCGTCACCCTTGCTTTCCTCTGAACCTCTGAGTCGTTGAGAGGAATAAAACGCTCAGATGCAGCCTGGCTGCTTTCCTCCAGTGCGCTCACAGCCCGTTCAACTCAACCATAGCTCGTACCGCTGGGGCAACCCCGAGCGCAGCGCCCAGCGCGGCTCCCAGCATCCCGCAGCGCCGTCCCGCCCCACGCACCCCTCCTTCCTCCGGCCCCTCAGCGGCAGGAGCCAAGCGTCAGCCCGGCCCCGCCCTCACTCCGTTCCCAGGCGGCACCTCCCGCCCCCGCCCGCCGCGTACCGCGCTCAGACGCAGCGTGTCCGGCCGTAGCGGCCTCAGGCGCTCCCACTTGGAGGCGGCGGCCATGTTCGCGCGGCCCCTCCTCCTCCCTCACGCCGGCGGCGGCCTTCGGAGTGGCGATAGAGCGCTCAGAGGCCTATCCGATGAGGCTGCGGGCCCGTGCTGGAAGAAGGCGCCTCCATCCCCGCCCGCCTCCGGACGGAGGGGGTGCCTGGGCTCACCGCGAGGCGCTGCGGCCGCTCCTACCCTCCCCCACAAGTGGGCGGCTGGGCGGCGGATGGAGCTCTTGCGCATGCGCGCACCTGGCGAAGGTGACGCAAAGGCGGTGCGCCGGGGCTGCTCTACCCAGAAGCCTCTGCGGCGCTCAAGCTGGGAGCTCGTCCCGCTCCGCGCGGCTTTCCCGTCTCGCGCCGGAACTGCTGCTGGTGGCGGAACGGCGGGAAGCGCGTTCCTCAGTTGTGCCGCCATCGCCGCGTGCTTCGCTGAGTGCCTCGTTGTCCCATCGCCGTCGTCTGTTGTTCTCTCAGTGCGCAGCCCAGAATCACAGACTGTCTCCCAAGTTGGCGGGATTACCGAGTCCAAAACCCAAACCCCGTGTTCGAGAGCGGTGTCCGACACTGCTTGCTTGAACTCCGGCAGTCCCGCAGCCCTGGGCAGCCAGTTCCGTGCCCACCGCCCTCTGGTGCACAGCCTGTCCCGGACCCCAGCTGCCCATCCCTGCCACAACTCCATGCTATAGCAGCTAGCTACTGCCTCCGACAAAAACAATTCTTTGCTTGCTTGCTTGTCTGTTGATTGATTGCTCTTCATGTCAGTTTACTGTTCTGCATACAAATAATCTGTCACGGAATTCTTTTGCACAAAAAATTCCAAAGCTGTTTTGCTTCCCTGCCCTACCACAGGAGGTGAAGTTTCAGAGCACTCCCTTGCAGTAAATAGGTGTGAATTTCATTGAACGTTGTAAAAATACTATCCTGGTATGTGGAAATCAAAGTCGTGAAGGATTTCATTTGTCTTCTAATGGCCAGACAGGGCAGGTCAGGAAACACTCTTATCTTGAAAATAAAGTGAATTTATTTTTGTTTACTAGCTGTTTCATATCCCTTCAGATTAGTTATTCCTCTGGAGAAGCTTGAGTCACCACTGATAAAACAGATGACTCTAGAGAGGGTGGATTTTTATCTTGGTAACTTGTTTTTCAGTTCCTCACTTGCACATTAATAATCTTTGTAGAGATGTGTAGAACTCGGGCAATTTTCATGCTTTTTTCAAGGCACGTTTGGATCTGAGAGACGGGATGTTTCAGGAGCAGAAGCACGGGGGGTTACAGGTTTTAGTCAACATGCATGTGCTTATACACACACACGCATCCATTTTTAGCTAGTCCCTGTAAGTGGGAGGCAGAAACTCCCTAAGCAAGTGCACTAATATTTACTGACCCTTGAGAGACGGCAAATTGCTGAAAAGGAGAGCAAAGAAATGTGCTGGTGGTGGATTCGATAGGTAGTGCCAGCAGGAAGTCCACTGCTTCAAAGTGTACTTTTCCTCTCTCTCCCATCACAGCCTCTCTCCTGCTTTTATCCTCCCCAGGGTCTGCAGGGTTTTCTCCACTTGCATGCTGTACCCGTGCAGCCAATGCATTATAGAGAGCCCAGGAGGAACACCTGCTTGCAAAACGAGTCTTTGCAAAAGCAGCATGAACTACCAAGGTTAGCTCTCTCTATAAAACAAGGTATTTGCAGCTACAGCCACAAATAGTGGTTCCCTTAAAACTGTCAGAATACTTTGTTCTATCCTGGGATCATTCTTGTCAGGTTCGTTTAGGTCCCTGACACAATGCTGTGATCAAATTTTGAGAAAATAAGGTGAAAAAGTGTCTTAGAGCTCCTCAAAGGCATGTCTCTGTAACAGAAGGCATGAAGCCTTGAATCGTGCAGTTAAAGAAATTGTGCAAACTCTGCTTGTCAGTATTCCAGGGGGAGCTCAGACTGGTACAAACGCAGAGGGTTTTCCTGTCATGGGAGCAAGTGAAATTACTGAAATCTAAAAACACACATTTTTGTGTGAGCAACTTAATGCTCTCTAAGTATTCAATGGCAATAAGTACAGTCCAATAAAGAATGAAGATTATCCTCTTGCTGTAATACTCTCAACTGGAGACGTATCTTACCATTGTAAAACTACTGTGATAGTTGGTTTTTGTTGTTGTTGTTGTTGTTGTTGTTGTTTTCTGTAACAGCAAAATGTCTTGAGTTGTTTTGGTTTGGGGTAATGTAAAGAGTGTGCTATGCAGAATAAAAAATCATTAACTAGGATTTTTATAATTGTTGAGTAGACATATTAGCAGGAATGCTAGCTGCTCATAATTTGAGGATTAGGGTGTTTGGCTGCATGAGTTTCCATATTAACCCATGTGAAAGAAATTGCATCAACATTTAACAATGCTGTTGTTCTAGCAAGTCATAAGATCTAATTCTGTTGTTCCTGTGCTTCTCTATCCCTGGCTGGTGGAAATGATGGAGCAAAAAAAAGTCCCACATGGCTTCAGACTCAGAAAGGCTTTTCCTGTGTTTACACTGAAAGTCTAAAGCTTCACTTTTTTTTTTTTTTTTTTTTTTTTTTTTTTTTAAGGAAAATTAGATTTGGTAGAAATTAACTTGATTGTCAGGAATTTAGGCTACCACATTCTATTGAATGTGATATTCTCCCACTTTAATTCTTTATTCCTCTTGCAGATGAAAATGTAAATTACTGTTTACCTATTTATTGTTGTTTTCTTCTATCCAAAAATGTCTGTGCAGTTGTTTTTTTAATGTCTCCAGGCATTAACTGCACTGGATGATGTTTCTTAAAATAAAAGACATTCATCTGAAATCAAATTTTCTTCAACTGGATTGATTTTCGACCCACCACCAGAGGGCAATAATTCCATTTGCTAAATGAGATATTTTAAAATTAATATACCCTAGAACAATTATTTCATTAAAATTTTTGAGGAACTGTATTTGAATTTCAAAATGCCATTTTCTTAGCAAATACTTCAGCTGTATAATTTAATGCCTATTATGTTAATAGAATAAATCTAACATATTTCTCTGTACTACTTAGGCATGTATGTTGTACTGCCATGCTGAGCAGCTGAAATAAGACTTAAAGAAATCTTACTGGCGATCCTCATGCAGCACTGTAATGCTGCAAGGTTTAGATCCCATGCAGAAAAGGATTTTATCATTCTAACATTTTGAGGGTTATTTTGAATGCCATTTATTCCACTTTTCTTATTTTGTTACACTATTGTGAAATTATTGTTTATTAGCCTGTATTTGTAATTCTAAATTTAGGAACTATATCACCTGACAGGTACCTTTATATCCTTATATGATATGTATTTCTTTTTTTTTTATGTGTATTTTATCTCCAACAGTTAAAATAAAGACCTTGTTCTCTAAAAAATCATACACTTCTGGTCTCAAATGTAGTCTTCTTTTTAATGAAATCTTGCAGATGGGTTTTCCAGGAGATGCATGTGTACTATTGCAAAGATGAGGGAAAGCTAATATCGTCCTGAAAAAGTGAAAAGGTACGAAATCATTAAAGACAAATGATAGATGTAAGTATCATATAGATGCATTTCTCTGTATATATTGTTATGTATTTATATGTCTGCTTGTTTAAACTTCCTTATCTCATTCAAATCCTGTTAAGGTTCTCGCTACTACATAATGATAAAATGTAATAATTAAAATGTGTTTCTGGTAATAGTACTGTCTTTCTTGTGCTCAGCTTAATGTGACTAAAAAACAAGATAATGAAGGGCCTCATCTCCCAAATGAGGAAAGGCCGAGTAACATTGGTCTGTTTGGCCTGGGGAAAAGAAGACTTGAGAGGGGATCTGATCAAAGTTTATTAAAAAAATGCAGGAGACAAATGGATGAGCTCAGACTCTTTTCAGTGATGTGCAGTAAAAGGACAAGGGGCAATGTCCAAAAATGGAACATATGAAGTTCCACACAAATATGCAGAAGAACTTCTTTACAGTGAGGTGACAGGGCACTGCAGCTGGCTGCCCAGAGAGGTTGTGGAGTCTCCTTCTTCGGAGATATTCAAGACCCATCTTGATGCCCACCTGTGTGACCTACTGTAGGGTACCTGCTTTAGCAGGGGATTGGATTCAATGATCTCCTGAGGTCCCTTCCAACCACTGCAAGTATGATTCTCTGAGGAAGAAGCGCCTTAAAACTGTGGGATAGGATAGGACATGAAATGGGGATTAATTAATGTGAAACTTAGATAAGCAACTTGTTAGTATCAAAAAGTGCTGAAAATTCTCAGTTTCTTCCCTCACTAGGAGAAAGCAGCTTCATTTCCCCACGAATAGAACAAAGTAATTTCTACCTATGGAATGGCAAAATTCAGCTTTGCCTACAATACTCAGGATCCTGAGTTGCTTTTGGTTGAAAGGCAAATTCTAATAAATAACGAATCATGATTGTGAATATTATATTTATCCAAACTCCAGCAAAGAAAAAAAAAAAAAAAAAAAAAAGGAATAAGAATTGGAGAGGTTACCATAATTGTATTCCTTTCATTTCTCAATATTTCAATGATATTTTTCCAGGAATAATCAGACTGGCATACTAAATAAATAACTGAAATGCAAATCTGTGCTTTAAGTTTTGCTCACCTTCAGTCACACATGTGGAGATGCCTGTATTTTGGCCATATAGTAAGCATGCCATACATTATGATACACTAATTTTCCTACTGTATCCAGCCACTATTTGAATGCAACTGCTTTTTGGTTATGAGTTCTTTTGCATATGAGTAAAAGAAAAAACTGTGTCCTAGCAGAGGAGGAAAAGGCTATAGGCCAAATCAATTGTTCTGTGGGGTGGATTCATTCTGTAGACTATATATTGAGTACTTGGGATTCATGTGATTAAAAGCAGTGCTTATGAAGAAACGAGAATTTCATGCAAAATGTAGATGCAAAAAACCCAAAGGATTTATTTATTTATATTTAATTTATATTTGTATTTATATTTATATTTATTTTATGACTGGAATGTTTTAAATAGATAGCTCTGAAGTGTCTTTTCTGTAGAGGTGTCAAAGATTCATAATATTTCAGTGTCAGCTGGGTTTTATGATAATTAAGAAAGTAATGATTCAGTACTGATTATTACTGATTATTAGTGATTATTAAGAATCTGATGTTTAATGTTATTTATAGTTTCTGAATATGTCCTCTGCTATTGTCAGAGTAAACTGCAATTTTTGTTAATTCCCACAAACATTTAGATTA